TTTGTTTACATCACAAAAGTGACAACAAGGATTCGCAATTGAATCTTTGTGTAATTGAAATTACACAAAGATTCATTCAGCATAGTACAGCAAAATGAAAGAACTAAAAGTTATCATGGTCCCCCTTCTCTTGGACATGAGTAGAGGCTTACGCCTTGTTTCTTGTTTAGGAAGAGGTTTCCGGTACTCTCTCTCTCTCTCACTGGCCTCTGTATCTCCAGTTGCATTGATCTATCCACTACTCTTCTCCTCATCCTTTCTTCTATCACTCCTATCTGACCTTGCTCCAAATTTTCTGTAACCCCTTGCATCCTAGTGGCTTTCCGCCTTGCTTGGGGTGAAATGCTTAAAAAGAAAAAAAAAAATGTTGGCAGAAGCAACAACAAAAACAACAGTTGCAGCAACAAAAATTACAACAAGAACAACATTTGCAGCAACAAAGACAACTGAACAACAATTACAATTACAACAACAGAATTTTTTTGAGTTGTTTACCAAAACAATAGAAGGAAAAACTTCAGATTCATTCATTCCAGATGCTGTTGCTAATTCAATTAGCAAATTTGTATACAATACAGACGATGGGATAACTTTTCCAGCTTATTGTAGAAGATAAAAAGGGATCTTTGAAAGGATTGTTTGTATTGAAATGATGAAAAGAAAGTTTGTTTATTATTAAGGAAATTATCATCTACAGAACATGAAAAATATGTGAATTATATTTTGCCAAAACAAACCAAGAGAGATAAATTTTGATGAAACTGTTCTAATTCTATGAAATTTTTGGTGATAGGAGTTCACTATTTAATACACAATGGCAATATCTTAACTTAATAAAGTCCAACGATGAAAATTTTCTCACTTATATTGGAGTCATGACTCGAGAATGTGAAAAGTTCAAGTTAAATGAATTAACTCCTGATTTATTTAAATAACTGATATTCATACAGGATTTAACTTCTAATAAGGATGCAGAGGTACGATCCAGGATACTTGCTTAATTAGAAATGGATTCCAAATTAACTCTCTAGAAATGGATTCCAAATTAACTCTCTAGAAAATAACGGAAGAATGTCAACATATTGTCAATTTGAAACTCGATATTGGAAGGATTGAGGAAAAAGACAATTCATAGGTACATAGTGTCCGACCATCTAAGAGAAAAAACTAGAAACGTTTTTCAAATCCTAACAGAACAGTAAAAAAAAGACTATAAACCCCACTCAATGCCTAATACTTGTCACAGTTGTGGAGGTAAGCATTTCACAAGTTATTGTATTTTTCAAGAACAAAAAATGTTACAAATGTCGGCTATGAGGATGTGACGGTTACACACCTGGCCCAGTGTCGGATCCTTTGGTTACGGCGCCAACGGTGACGTCGCTCCTCCTGGTCGCTCCTCCTGGGTCCAAGCGTGCCGCTCCAACCCTTTGGTCAGATGATCACCAGCCTCGCCTTTCCCGACTCGCTTCCAATACCTGGTCACTAAAGCAACTATACCGATCTCCGGTCTGTCTACCCACGCTGTGTTTAGATCTTAGACAGACGGGACCAGCAGGGATCGGGGCCGATACAAGTTGAGTCCGACGGGGGTGGCAAAACACAAATAAAATAAAAACTCACGACACCAAACAAAATTGCTGATAAAAAGGGTAACAACCTTTTATATCTTAAAGTCCGTTACATAAAACAAAAGTGTTCTCATTTCCCGACCCGCTCTGTGGACTATGGCACCAAGCTTCTATCACACAATAGAAAAATGTCGAATTACCTACTTTCTAGAATCATGCATGTATGTCGGAGTGTGGTTCAGTTCGACACTGGGGCTAATTTCTATCGATCATTCGCAGTTGATTCTTCTCTCCGACTTGAGTTGTATTTTTCTTCTTCTTCGTCTGCTTGGGCTGGTAGTTTTCCTGTTTCAACTTGGTGGAAGATTTCTTGTTTCAACTTAGCCGCAACTCTCTGTCGTCTGAGGTGGTCTCTTCTCACTGCCGTCCGGAGCTGAACTTTAACTTCTCATCGACTTTCGGCTTGTCTGCAGCTCCAATTCTTCTCAGGCTTTCAGGCAATCTTCTTCTTCATCTACTTGGGCTGGAAGTTCTTCTTGTCTGAGGGTTCTTTTCTCGCTGCCGTCCGGGGATGAACTGCAACTCACGCCCAACCTAACTCCAACTTCAACTCAACTTCAGCTCCAACTGATTTCTGCCGACTGGGGTCCTGCTTATATTGACGCCGCAACAAACCGGGGTGGGTCGGTCGGCGTCAGGGGTTTCTCGATAATTTCAAAAGCCGTATTAACTTTGACTTTCCATTATCGTTATTGTTTTCACCCCTACTTTCTCACAGTGCTCTTGGGGGGGCGGCGCATATCTATTTCTCTTAGTCTCTCTCATGTCAGGTGATCGCTCTCAACCAATCGTTCCCGATCGAACCTTTCTTTCTCTTCTTTTCCGCAGCCCACGTGACCGCCTCGTCCAACAGTTATTGATCGAGGTTTTCTTTCCTTCTTCTTCCGCGGTCACGTGATTGTATTCGACCAATTGTTATTGACCGAACACCTCTCCCTTTTGTTGGCGGGTGTGGTTACATCGTGCTGGTTTTAAAAAAACAAAATCCGATTTCGCACCTTTTGCACGTACGCAAAATGACAATCCTTGCCCTCTCTCACCTGGACTTTGTCAAACAGCCCGCTGCTAATTAGTCTTGACTTTTAGAAAGGATCTTTTCCGCCTTCCTGGCGCCCTCCGTGGTCCAAAACAATTGCTCTTCTTTTTACCTCTTTGTTTTTCCTGATAGCCGAGAATCTTAATTATCTAGGTCGAAATATCTCTACTTTCTTAACGTGGGTGTCCAATTCTTAACAGGTCAATTCCGTATATCATTTTCACCAGTCACTTCCCCCAACCCAAAGACACTTTCTCTCTGACTAAAGTAAAATTCATTTCTATTATTCTAATTTAAAAGTTACCTTTCGTTATTTTGATAAGAATTCTTCTACGAAAATGTCGGTCAGCGCTCGCGACCGATATCTCCAATTCTATTCTTTCAACAAAAATTAAGGTCAGTCAGAGGCTCTGACCGACATCTGGTCCACACCCAGCGGCCTG